GCAATATATTTAAATGAAGGTGTTTGTGCTCCGCTTTACATTTTTTTTCTTAAGCTACAGTTATACTAAGACAAACCACCAATTCATTTCAATGTGGATTTGTAACAAGCATTGCCATTGGTTGCTTTGATGGACTTCTACAGCTTTTAGCAGGTCTACCTATATATCTCTTATTATAAACCCTTTATAGTCACCAAGTACTGTGGGTTGTGTTCTTTAACTCTGAGGAAATGTGCAAAGTGGAAGTGACAGACTGCCCTTAAAAATGGTTTGATGGTCTTCCCGGTATTCACGGACACAAAATGTTTTGGGGGGTTTTCTGGAAAGAATTACAGCTAGGAGATTAACTTCTCCTGGTTTGAAAACTCTCGGCTAGAACACCTGTAGAAGGAAATGACTGCATAATTTATAGAGAGAGGTTTATATTGCTTTGCAAGGACACAGATCTTCTTACATGAACTGCAAACACATCTGACACTATCAAATCAGAGAGGAGACAGTCGCCAAAAATAAAACTGAAAGTTTAAAAGGGCTTTCCTTTTAAATAGTAATTTAGGCTGACTGCAGAAAACGCATGGCTTCTAAAGCCCAGGTCAGGTCTGTGTCATGCTGATATAGGGTGACCAGCTCCAAATCACCCCAACAGCACCACAGCTACTATTACACAGCAATGCACCCACTGACCATAAAAACGCTAGAGGTTTCTTGCCCTAAAAATTGTCCCAGCATCACAATGCAGCTCAATAACTTCACGAGGATTAATATTAAAGTCAAATGGTTTTTCAGCTACTGCAAATGCTGATGTAAAATCACTTACAATGGATGCTGCTCCTTGATGTTTAAATGTTTGTTTCCTGCAGAATCAACTAGTGCCCTAAGCACTGGTCCAGACATCCTGCTCTAGGGTGGCTCCTTTCCTTTTCAGGGCTGTATGGAGCCACCCTTGTGTGTGCGCGCGCCTCCACAGGCACAGCAAAGCACACCACTCCCCTGCTTCCCATGACTCCCTTATACAAGCTAGTAGATGGACAGCTGTTGGATAGTATGCTGCCCCTTCTGATCTTGTACTCAACAGGAAGTTCAGGGAGGCAGAACCAAGATTTGGAGCCAGGTGTTTGGAAACATGACTAAGTGCCTGGGCAAAAAATGAAAATAATATTTTGCTGGCAATGTAGGTGTGTGTGATCTGGATTTCTTATTAAAAAATAAATGATAGTTTAATAACTACCGGAAGTGTCAGCAATCATCAGTAGTACTATTGTCTTGGGTCACTAACTGTAGTTGCATTGCAAGAGAATGATTTACTGAAGGGGTCTTGTTTCACTTTGCTTGGTAAATCAGAGTCTCGCGCAACTCATATGTAGAGAACATATAATTTTTTAAATTTCATTCTGCATTTTCTGAAGCACCAACTGACCAGTTCACAAATCTCACCTGCTCTATGTAAGTAGGTTAGCAAGTTCATGTGAAAAGGTAACTTCATTACAACATAGGTGTAATCATGAACTGGAATGCTGCAAGCACCGGTGACCTAGCTGATAAAGCTCCAGTTAGACTACAGACCACTGGCTGATCACATGGAGGGGGCCTGTTCGCTCACACATATGCATGCTACTTCCAATGCTGTCATGGTAATACACACACCTGGCAAATTAACCCCGACAACTGAAAAAACGCCAGGCAAAATAAATAAATAAAAAAGTAATAACTTAAATTACATTTTAAGAGCACTATGACAAGTACCTGATTACCATACATGTACTGCAACTGGGTATAGAACTGTGCGAATACAGGGCTGGACAAATCCCAGGAGCCAATGCTCCTTAATCATCAGCTGGTACATAACACTTGAGTTTCTTGTCAAGGGAGCCGACTCCTAAAAATTTCCTTCTGGCTCCTGGGATTGGACAGACTGGCTCCTGAATTCAATACCAATTTATCAACTCTTGGACTACAGTCAAATCATAAAGGAAACCTGTAGGAATAGAATGTGATGATTGCCATTGCTGAACCTTTTAAAATGAACCTTTCTCTTCTTCAAACATGGGAGCATAATGAAGCTTTCATAATTTGTCCCATTCAGCCGTTTCCTTTCCTTAAAAGGTGCAACTCAAGATTGAACAGCATGGTCATTGACTGAAAACTTTGGCCTTTGTCAAAAGCCAATAGTGAAGCCCTGGTCTCCATCTCTAAATTACCCCTCCACCTGATGTATACCTACTGCCCCAGGATAATCAACTGTCACAGGGAGGGCAGAGTTCCCTTGTACATGTGGGCTTTACCTTCTCTGTGTTGTATGAGCTGCAAGATGGCAGCACTATGTAGATGGAGGCAGACCGGAGAAGAAGGAAAAGGAAGACGACATCACAGTCTGTCTGATGAAGGAACCTTATAAGATTCCGAAACCTTGCTTCTCATTGTGATGTCATGACTATCTAACATCAATAAAAAAAGATTGATAAAGTGGATACTGGTGCACTGGCGACTTCCCTCCCTTTTTCTTTATTTGTTGGCGGCGCTATGCGCTGTCATTTCAGCACCCACTTGAGGAATACAAGGTTATTTATTTGTCTGTCAGGAGTGCAATGGGTCATTCATGTGATACACTGGAGCAGGTATTATGTTTATTAAGCATGCACTAGAAAGTATTTAATTTCTTTATACACTGCAAAAGGAAAGATTTGCTTTAAAAAGAAGTCCCCAATGGCAGCGCCTATATTTCTGTGTTACAAATGTTCTTAAAGTGGGTCAAAGAATAGAAGGGGTTAAAGATGAACGCAAGCTCATTACTGCACAAATTTGCTTTTGAATTCAGTTTTCACATAGTAACTGACATTAAGCAAGTATCCTTTTTTTTGCAATCTCTGCCATACCGACACACAGGCACATACTTTCCCCACAACGGTAAGCGACCACAAATCAGCACATGTGCTTCAGGCAAAAACAGCATGCTAGTTTCACAAAAAACCTCAACCATTTACACACACAGGGATTGAAGAGAAAGGTTACTATTTAAAAAATACTTCTGCAATGTTTCTACAGAAGAAATCCATGTGAAATGTAATATTCATGTGTCAAAATGGCGAGTGAACAGAGATGCTCGTCAAACACAAGCTACTGGTTTTATTTTATAGTCAGAGTTTTACATACAGACAACGGCAATTTTGCCCAATGAAGTCTAATTTAAAGGACAGGATTGGGGTCTAAGATCAAATCAATCTGTTTAAGAGTATAAGCTTCCATTTTATTCATATAATAGGACAATGGTCACATCCCATATATTTACCTAAGTCTATGGGATTTTTGTATCCATTGTAAAATCCCTTTCTCTTACTTTCATTGATGGATGCATCACTGTAGATTATATACCATAACTCATGGTATAGATTCTGCAGTGCTGTGTCCCTTAATGAATGATTGGGCCCCTAAGGTAGTGCTTTTCTTCTATTTCAGAAGCCATGCTTCTCCAAGTATACTCCTTTCAGGCAGATCTTGAGGCTCCATGTCAAGGCATAGACACTTGACTCAAGCTCATGGACTACCTGATGCATTATATTATAATTATATCCCATCATAGTGTAGTATATCAAGTACAGTGTATCTTGGCTTCAGTGTTCCTGTCAGCCTTGAGAATCCAGGGTATGATCTATGCCAAGGACAGGTCAGGCCAGAGAATTCAACAATAACTGCCAGGCTCATGCAAAGAGTAGAAAATGAGGCCGGAAATTATAATCCATAGCCAGACTTGTCCTTATTCCTATGCATGGCATGGATTCTCAAGATTGGGAGGAGTTCCAGGGTGGGGAATCACTGCATTGACAAGGTATACGGTGTATTTTATCTTTAGGGCTAGACCTTCAACCCCTTAACGACCAGTGACGTCCACAGTAGTCACTGGCATTGGGCCCATTTAAACATACTCCCAGCGGCAGCTGTGAGGGCAGCTCTAGGAGCCAATCAGCTGTGCAGTATCCATGGGAAGTTTCCTCACTTCCTTTGAGGATACAGACGGGAAGTGAGCAAAATGCCTGTAATGGGGGTTCAAAGTTAATTACTGGGAAGTAGAGAGGATCACTGGCAGGTTTTTATCCTCTATATATTGAGCTCCTCACTTTCTCTATGGTCACCGGGGCAGGTGAATATCAGCAATTCGGTCACAATAAAAATATGACAAGGCATGTTGTAACCCCATGATATTCAGTGAAGTCCTGCTGCTACTATAAATAAAAAACAAATGTAATTTTAAGGAAATTACCATCCATGTTCACCTTTACATCACAAGTCCTGAAGCTATAAAAGCCTGAATATTTCAGTTCACTTAAGGCTGCAAAAGAGTTGACAATGACTTGGGCAAAGTTGTACTAAATACAGTAAACACTCTATTATCCGGTATTCAACTAACTAGAACTTTCATCTAACCAGAGAAAAAAATAAATAAATCTCCCCCCTCCGTGTACTCATTGTCCTGACGATCTGCGGCATGTATTATCCTGGAAACGATAATGATGCTTTTGATTACTGCATTTCAATATTAATATGACGTCAATACAGAGTTTGTCATGGTATGGTATAGTATTGGGCATTAGTTAGACCTATTTTCAATAGCAACTCTAAAGCAACCAGAAACTACATTTATCCAGAATCTACCAATCCCTGTGGATGCCGGATAACTAGGAGTTTACTGTATGTACATTTAATGTAGGTTGTACATTTTGGCAACATTGGACTACAACAGAAGTTTCGCTCTACACAAAAGTATAATTCTTTGCATCTATGTGTAGACATTATCAAGGCTGAGGGTCGGATATTTTACCTAAAGTCATAAAAACATGACTGATAGGTGTAACAGGCAACATATCAAAGGAATGTAATGCAAAACTAAGTGGGAAATTATACCAGAAAAATACTAGATTAGGTCTGAGACAAGAAGATGCTTTTTAATACTAAAGAGCATGCATGGATGTCAAAAAGAATAATACAGCTGCCTGTTTCATTCTTACCTCGTGTTTCAGTTCTGCAATTTGATCCTTTAATTCTCTGATGTACTGGCTTGAATCAGAGTTGTTGAGCTGTCCTTGTATTTTCCCTTCTTCCTTCTATATAAAGAAAAAGAAAGCAAAACAATGAAATGGACTGAAACAGGAAAAAGATGGCCAGGTGGTCTATAAAGCAAATGCAGCACAAAGAAAACCAACCACAATATTACGATCCTGGTCATGGTCCAAGTAACAAGCATTTAACATCTTGTGGGATGTCCCAGTAAAAACGGGCATGCTGCAAGAAGCTCTGATTTTATTTAAATGTTACGTCTCCTGGATTAAAACCGTCACTACCAGAAACGTTGTACACAGTCTGGTGTAGTGACCAAATGAACTCTGACATCTTACAAATTGTACACTTTAAAAGCATAATGATCACAGAATTGGTTGGTGCTTCTTCACCATTAGGTGAGCACAAATACAACTTAATGTTCACCTTTTTGGGGGATTTCCAGCCTTCAGTGATCTCATGGCACCATATGCAAAACCCGAAGAGGAACAGCCAATCATTTTATCATGCAATAAAAGAGTATGGTGGATTATTGTTGAAGTACAAATAGCTATGAGGTTATCAAGGAGCCTGCAACTACATATAAAGGATTAAGAATCCAAAGTAAGCAGTAACTTCTTGGATTCGTTCCCCATTATTTATCACATATAAAAATCAGTTACAAAAAGACAGTTGCTTTGCAAATTGCTGCAGCAGCTTTTGCAGTTAGACAACAAGTAAATTAGGTTAGGTACACACAGATGCCACAAGTAGGTTTGCAGTGCATTTTCTGACAGAAACTTATGCATCAATTTGCTATGAAAGCAGGATAAATGTATTGGGCCAATAAAGAATGCACATCAAGCCAATTTAACATTATGCAATTCTTCAAAAATATATTATTGCACAGAAGTCCTCCAGGTTTACAAAAAGAGGTGTAATGCTAAAACGTAGATTTATAAAGCAATGCAAGTTTAGAGGGGTCATATTCCTTGTTTATTTTTAGCGTTAGTGCCCATTTACACCTGTGCGTTTTCTGTTTGTACACTTATACGTTTGCTCTTTTGCTCATGTAGACCAGCATTCTTGTCAAACGCAGCCTATTCCAATTGCACCCAGCATTGCTTAAGCCTGTGCCTTCAAAATGCCATGTTTGACCCGCAAATCAAATGCACCTTGACAGGACATAATGTGCTCATTATCTACCCTACTCAACTGAAATCAATGGGAGTCTGTTGACCTGCATTTGACTTGCGACTCAAACGCACATCAAACATAAAAAAGAATGCCCCTCTACATCAGCCCTTCAGTTTGTCTTGAGTCCACACCAAAGAATTTTCTTCCATTGGAAAGTGTGTGTAAATGCGGGTTTAAGTATTACTGAAACAGACTTAATGTTAAAAATAATGCATACAAGTTGCAAACAAAGCACACTGGTATAAACAGGTCTAGGGTGGGTAAAAAAGAAAAAAAAAAAATTTACTCCATTGTGCTATTTATAATTTTCTAATATTTTCATGGGAAATTTCTGCCACAAACATGTTTTCCAAGAACCTATACATAACTGAGGCTTTATCAAAGGCTGTCAGTTAACAGACTTCCTTCACAAATACAGCAGATGTGTGAAAAAGACTCAAAAGGAATCTAGTAGGTAACTAAGTTCCTCAGAGAAAACAAATCCTTCAGATGCTGCGGCATATTCGTCATCCACCTGGCATTACAAGGGGCAGAGTCAGCGGCAGCTGCTAAACTTTCTTGGTGAATGTTAAAATACAGTTAGAGAAGATTGTGAAAGGCTTCATTTGTTGTTTTAGGTAGAACTGCAAAGATGAACTGGTACATTTACTAGTTCTGACAATACCATTAAAACAAAAAAGTGTGTGCGCATAGAATTACTAATCAACATTCTAATATCCTCAAGCACTATTAGCAAATTCTGTTCACCTTAACTCACCAAGTAAAACTTTACATCCAGAAGCATATATAGAATAAAATCAGTTATCAGTCTTCTTGCGTATTGACCTGGGACTATTGGGGTTAATTTACCAAAGTAGTAGGTAGTGAATGAGGTTAAAGGAGAACTATGGGGTTAAGGCTTTTCCCCATAGTTCTCCTTAGGGTAACGGGAGGACACAAACTAGCATCCTCCCGTCACCCTAAGCTACTGCTCGCGGTATACTGAGACGCCACAGCTGAAGTGGATCCCGACAATTATGTCTGGATCCGCTCCCAGCTGCGTGAGTGACAGCTGGCTCTGCCTATCTAGAGGCAGAGCCAGCTGTACCCTCCCCCGTCCGCCTGTCAGCGCTGGCGGATCGGAGCCGGGAATCCAGCCCCTCCCCTGTCACAGCAGAGAGCTGTGACAGGATCGAGAGGTAAGCGAACGCCGGTATGTGTTCGCTCCCTTCCCGATCTACTGAGCCGACCTGTGACAGTCTCATTGTCACAGGTCGGCGAGAACTATGAGGTGAGTGAAAAGCACTCGCTTCATAGCTCTCATTTAAGCCATGACTTGAAAAATCCAATACTGTACATGCAGCAAAAACATCTTTTTAAAATAACGGTTTTCAATGTACATGATTAGCTATGCTTTGCAAAGCGAGTTTTAACTTAGCATCACCTCATTCACATGCTCTACTCTACCATTCTGACCATGTTTCATATTACACTCATATTCAGGGTGTAACATAAAACAAGTCCCAACAGCCACCAATGGTAGAGGGACTTGTATTATTAAGGGAGTACAAGTGAGGGGACGTCACCACAATTGTAGTATATTCATTCTTCCCTCCATCCATGTTACTGGGGACAGGAGGGAGAATCTACAGGAGCCAGGTTATAAATAACATCAGTGCTACCTAATTAACCTAGTCACAACACCCTGCTGTCCGCATGCTTTGTTTACGCGCAAGTGGTAGGCAGGTCTCTGATCCAATTCAGGGCAAACCTAAAACGATCGCTTTAATCCTCAACCCTTCATCATATGCTTACCTTTTCTTTTGCTTCCCCAACAATGCATTGCAACATGTTGAAAATATCTGGTATTTCCAAGTATGGAGGAGCAATTAAGCAGGCCAACCAGCACTAGTTGGAAAAGCATCATCATCTGTGGGTTTTGTTTAATCTTTCTTAAATGATGGCTAAGCTATACTGGTGAACCACATATATTGATGGATAATGAACACAATTTCAGGAAACTCCAAAATCTAAAAAATGCAACAAATTAAGTCTTTACAGCTGGCAGGGGTTCAGCTTTAAATCGAAAACTGGAGATTACATTTTGTATGCTTTGCTACTGAAAGCATCTTCAGTTAAGCGTAACTTTCTATAGCCGTATCTTTATTGTGAGAAAGCTTGGTCCAGACCACCCCAAGTGATCACTCACTGGGACTTTGAAAAATGTACGTTTTCTGGCAGCTCACAAGCTTTGAAAACAGAAGCAGAGAGCTGATGTCTATACACAGCCAAGGACATAAATGCCATTATGCAGTCACTGTAATGAGCTAGTTATGCACATCTATAGGCCAGAATCTTAGTCCACAAAGTAGATGCTGGCCCTGGGTGATGCATAAACAAAGAGGATAGAAAGAAGGTGCCATTGTCAGGAGAAGCACTTACATCCTTAGATTAGTAGATCTGCTTTAATAATATTATAATCTATAACTTGATCTAGTCATAAAACAAAAAGGTAAAAAGACACATTTAGGGACTGCCAGGATAGGGGCAATCTCATAAAGTGCCTTGTGAAGTAATGTCCACCATTACCAAGGTGACATTTCCATGTGTACAGGAGCCTTTCTCAACCAGGGGGAATGAAGACTAATGTGAAGGGGCTCCCCATGTAAAAGGGGAACTCTGATGTAAAGTGGGGGCATCTTTATTTGAAGGGGGCACTTTGATATGAAGGGGGGAAAAAAACACTTTTGGTGGCGTTTCTGCATGGGGTCCCCCTTAAAATCTATCACATTTTAGACTGGGGTGCTTCAAGATTTTGCATACTTTTAAAGGGGGCAGTGACAAAAAGAAAAAAAAAAAAAAAAGTTGAGAAACACTGCTCTAAAGTACTATTAGAAAAGTGCCTATTAGCAGGTCATTGCTAGATGTAATATTAAATACCTGTGCTTTTCATACTGGATAACTAACAGCGTGGAAACGATATTCTCTACCGATAAGGGCTGCGTGCACTATCTCTATGTTGCATAGATTTCTGAAATAACCGACAAATATTACTTAGCAACACAGCAATACATGAATGGCATTAACAGATATAAGAAACGTTGCTTTGCTTTAAAGCTTAAAGTTTAAGCAATTGCACAGGACCGCACAAATTATGTAACTCTGCAAACAGTCATTCAGAGCAAAAATGTGGTGAAAATCTTGCACGCTGCTAAGCTTAGGAGTTATAGAGATTTCTTAAGAGGTTTTCAACCACTTTGCTTCTCTGAGCTGGCAGCACATGAAAGTAATCAGTTCCTTATGCACAATGTTATAAGCAATACAGGTGTTTGGGGGGCTGCAGCCACAATAGAAAAGTAGTTTCAAAGACAATCTACAATTCCTAGAACAGGTGGCTCAGACGACTATATAGCACTGAAAACACCATGCATTCACTGCGGTAACCCTGCCAATACATGCTCTTCATACGTGTTGGGAAAGTACTATACAGCCCCCACATACTATCGAGGAACACTAGAATTCTGTTTGCCAAATTTATATTAAATCATTTATTTTTCTTTTTACTGTATTTTTGTTTGTTTCCTGCCAATGCCAAGAATGCATAAAATACTGAAAGAACACGCCTTGGACAATTTTAGGCAGCGTGCCAAAGATGCTTTCAGAAGCTACATACAAGATTAAAGTGAAAAAGAAGGCATAAAATTCATATAGCAAACCTAAGAGCTTTTGGTTTTTTTATTTAAGCATAGCTGCAGTATGCCAGGCCAGCCTGCTACTTCTCATTGGCAATAGGGCAATCTGGGAACCCCTTTGTTTGGGGTTCCCAACAGCAGCCTGTAAAAGAGCGTTAAGGTGCCCATACACTGTGCGATTATTGCACGATAATCGCGGG